GATGGGAAATCTCGTAAAAGTAGGGCTTGGCTTTAAGTGGGGAAGCAGTCATCTACAGTCATGAGGGAAAAGAAGAGTATATGGTCACAGACTCAATTAGGTAGACAGTAGGTAGGTAGGTAGGTTCGATGTGAATGTTGATGGGAAACTCCGGAATGCTTTATTTTCTCAGTGAATCAGGAAGCAGAAGCTGAGGGATGATGAAGAAGGGATTCGTCGTTTGAGGTGAGAGTAGGAATGAAACAATTGCATAGGGGAGTAGGAGAGTAAATGAACTGGGGGAAAGTAGCGATTGCCGAGTAGCAACAAGGAGCCACCTGAGTGTGGGGGCGTTAGGAATTGAAATTGGCAATAAGAAGGCTTTTGCAGGTTAATAGTAGTATGAGGCTCACAAGAGGGCGCTCGCGGCCTGTTCCCTGATGGCCTAGTCTCAGATTTCCAGAAGAACGTAAGAGATTCTCTATGGAAAGGACCAGAAAACAAGCTGCTTTTTCCTTCTCCAGAGACCGAGATACCCTATTGCCAAAACTACTAACGCTGTGAGCAGGATTCGAACCTGCGCGGGGAGACCCCATTGGATTTCGAGTCCAACGCCTTAACCACTCGGCCATCACAGCCGCGTGCGGCCTCTGGCCTGCGCAACTATAGCTGCCTATCAACACGCCCGCCTCCTGCCAGCCCCACCCTCACGCCGCCTTGGGACGCCTGCACGCCTGCGCCTCGGCTCGGTGGCGCAGAGCATGCCTTCCCTGCGGCACCGTCTGCGGCCCGTTAGAGGGGCACCTTTCCTATTCTCCTTCTCCTCCCCAAGCATAGGATGGGAACAAAATGAGTCCAAATTCGAGCCCTGGCTTCCATACCCTTGAGAGCAGACCCTGAGGTGTACACTTCATGCTACTTAATGAAAGCGAAGTGACAACCTCTAGCTTCTACACTAAAAGTGCACGGGAAAGGAGACCCAAAGATGGATTGGCTTGTAAGAAGAATCTTGGAAAGAGTCTAGAAGAAATAAATCTTTCTTCCAAAGAACCAGACAGAAAGGCCCTTTGAAAGTGAAGTACACTTGCAGCAATAATATGTCACTCTCCACTAACTCAGGCACTACTGGGATTCGAACCCAGAATCTCATGTTTACTAGGCAGACGCTTTACCCAGCTAAGCCACAGCACAAGCACCAAGGAGGGATGCCTTATGATAAATCAACTGTTAATGAGTGACAGTAAGTGCAAATCACTGAACAGTGACTGCAGTGGCTCCTCAGTTCATCCCTTCCTGAGTTGCCTCTTCCCTTTCAGGTTGTGAGCCAGAGGGTTCAATACTTTGCTCCTTCATTCTTCCACACCTTTGGGGCCAACTCAACCATGAGTGAGCACATGACTCCATGTGTCCCTGAGCTACCTAGCCTGACCTGCTGAAGGGCCCTCTGTGTGGCGACCAAGCCAAGGAAGACAAACATCCTCAACTACCTCAGGGCACCACGGGGTTAAGTGGGCTTCCTCTGCCTCCGCCACCTGTGACTCAGGCTGGAGCCCACCCAAGCCTTTGGCCACACATGCCTTTCATTTCTCCTTCCCAGGGAAATCCAGCTGAGGCCATGCTAGAGAGGACAGCGGAGACTGAGCTGGGTGTAGACTCAGCGGGCTCAGCAAGGCCCTCACCTGGACAGGATCGGGGGAGAGAGGAATGGGGCTGGTCAGGGGATGGAACTGTGACCCTCACTACAAACTTCCCGGAACGTGCTCCCCTCACCCCACCCCCATACTTCATTCCACAAAGTCCTGGGCTTTTTTATCTTTTTGTATTAAAAAAGTAATAACAGACACAAATATCAAAAACACAAATGCCATCGGCAGAGGGTACAGCTGAGAACACCTGGGTCCCACCTGAGGGGCAGCACCAGGGACTCCATGGTCCACCAACCTCCCCCACCCCAGAGCAGCTAGGGGCTGGAACCCCTGGGTCCTGCTTGGGCCTCAGGCTCTCCTCCCATCTGGGGAGGAGGTGGGAGAGAGCTGTCTCCCCCAATAAATAAGTGCAGCCCCAATCCTCAGGAATCGGACTCAGGCTCAGCTGGGATATGGAGAAGCCACTTCAGCAGCTTGTCAGCAACTCTGTCCAGGAGAGGGAAGGGCTCCTCTCCAAAGGTGGAAGGTGACCCTCCTCTGGGTTGGGCTGCAGAGTTCTACTCTCTGCTCCCTAAGAGGCCAGAGGCAGCCCCTGGATCCTGGGATGATGATGGGGGTCCAGCCCCCTATGGTGGGAGAAGCTGGGGCAGTTTCCCACTGGTTGGTCCAGCCACATCTGAGTTCTGAGAATTGGGACACAGAAGGAAGCTGCTCATGGGCTCCTGGAGATGGTCCCAAAATGGGAGTCTAGCTGGCGCCGTTTCCTGCTGTAGGTAAGGCTGGACTGGCTGAGCTCCTGCCTTCCTCCTCCTCCTCCATGGCCAAGTCCTGAGAGCTAGAGGCCTTGGCCCCAACTTGGGCCCGGGCCTCCTCGCAGCCCTCACCCTCACCACTGCCGCCACCGCTGCTGCCTTGCTCGCCTCCACCCTCCTCCATGGGCTCCAGCCCCAGTCCATCCAGCTCGGAGAAGAGTGGGTCATCAGGGTGACCAGGGTCTTGGGTGCTGCTCCCACAGTCCACACAGGCCTTCGTGAGAGAAACGGATACAAGGGAGTAAGATAGGGTCCTCACACTAACCTGCCTGCCTAGCTTCCCACCCACAGCCCAACTGCGCTTCCTGAAATGTACTCCCAAGCAGCAGCAGTCCACATAGATGCACCTGCAGGCCAACAAGGTTGGGAAGTGCCTTGTGCTCTCTACCCAGATGCCATTACAGGACAGTCACAATGCATGTTAATATAGGATAGGCTCAGGAAATTTCTGCTAAGACTCATGTGGCTTCATATTCTATAATACACAGCAAATGTGGAATCAACATTCTTCAGAAGTAATGATCCAAGGCCACTGAGATCAGCTCTTAGCCTGGATCCCTTGAACTTGAGCTCAACTCTTTCTTCTCCTCTGTCCCAGGCTTCTCTTCTCACCATCACATCAAGAGCCCGAGGCAGCTGGCCCTTCCGGACCCAGGAGTGCACAGCGCCCAGTTCCCGCCGCTGGTCCTCTGAAAACCGAGGCTGCTGCTTCTGCATGGCTCGGAGCCGCTCCCGATCCTGCTTCAGTACGGAAGTCATATCCCTGGCCGAGAAGGGTTCAGAAGGCAGAAGCTGGGATCCAGCACCCAGACCATGGCCCATGAAACTGGTATCCTTCCTCCACGCAACTCCTCACTTCATGCTCCTCCCCTAAACCCGGGCTATGGCAGTTCAAGGCTTCCAAGACCAAGAAACCTGCTCTCTTCCTGGGAGGAACTAGTAACAGGGCTTCAGGGGGCAGGGAGAAGAATAGGAACCTTCTATCCTACCCAGGACAGAGCCAGCCCCCCAAAAGAAAACTGCCTCCTACTACCTCTGACAGGGAGGCCAAGGAGGCCTCTGAAATGCCTCACCTGGAGGGCACCTGGTAAGTCATCATGATGTGCTGATCAGCATTGGCCATGAGCAGCCAAATGGGATCCTGGAGCACGTACTTAATCACCTGGTCCCCGGGCTCAGCCTCTGCCCGAGCAGCCCCGGCCTCCGCCTCAGAAGAGTCGATGCTGCCAAAGTATTTGCTTGTGTGGCTGCTCTGGCTGCTGCCTGTGAAGTGAGGGACCGACCAGTGGAGTCAAGCTGGCCAAGAGCCCACTCCTGGGGCCTCACAAGGCCTCCCTCAAAGGCCACATGTCCAACCCAGTAGCCTTAGGAAGCTCCGCCAAGATGGGTCCTGGGCTCCCTGCTCCCCAGTCACCCCTGACCCTACCCTGGGAGGTGCTGGAGGCGGGGCACTCACGAGTGATGCTGGCTGAGGTGCTGCACCCCTCGTGGGAGCCTGAACCAGACCCAGAGCCCAAGCCGGAGCCCAAGGAGCCCGAGGCTGCGGAGCCTGTGCCAGAGCGCGAGTCCTCTTGCAGCAGCAGCTCCAGCAGGTCACTGGAGCCAGAAAGCGCATCCTGATTGGAGGACTCTGTGACTTCCACCTGGAGAGGAGATGGGCAGGGAGGGATGGAGGGCTCAGCACCTAGGCCTCCCTTCACCTGCTCTCACTGGTCATGGGGAGAGGCACATCCAACCCAAGTGATCTCTGCTCCCCACTTCGTGATAGTAGGGCCAGGCTGAGAGAGAAGCGAGCTGGCAAAGGTAGGGATGTGAGGCCAGACCCTTTCCAAGTGGCAGATGCTCTCTCAGAAATTATTGAGATGTCCTCACCACCTGTCAGACAAACAGGACTGTTCCTTCAAAGAGGAGGTAGCCAATTTCTGCCTCATTCAGAAATTCAGCTGGGGTCTCCCTCCACCTCCTGGAGGCTGAGACACCAGCCTGGCAGAGGCAGGAGGCAGTGCAGGGTGGCAGAGGGTGGGGCTGGTGTGGTGGCTGGAGGATGGATGCAGGGGTCAGTGCTCACCAGTCTGGCCTCTGGCTCAGCAGCCTTCTCACTGGGAGGTAGGGGCCCGGCACTGCTCCCAGGGCCCCCTGCAACAGCAGCCCCCTCAGCACGGGGGGGCTCCTCAAGCTGCAGCAGATTGAGCTGGAGTGGAGAGCTGCATCTTGAGTTGAACAGTGGAGAGTCTGGGCGGTGGGGAGGGCTGGGGGGGAGGGCGGGTAAGGATGGAGAAGGGGAGTGCGAGGCAGGAGTAGAGGGCCCTTCAGCAGGGGTCTGGGGAGCCCCATAAGGATAGCTGGATGGGGTTGGGAACAAATAGTTCGGGAGAACCAAGGCCACCATTGGGGTCACCAGAGGGGCGGGGAAAGCAGCCTGGGGCACAGATGTGGGAGTGGGGGGAAGAGGCTGGGGGCCTCCTCTCGGGGAGAACACTGGGAGAGGGTAGGGCTGGACAACCGCTGGGAAGGGGGTAGTGGCTGGTGGGGGGGGCCAGGGGGTGGAGGGTGGCACAGGTGAGGGGTGTGAGACATAGCAGGGGGCTTCAGCCCGGGGGTTCTGGTGGTGGCGTGAGCGCTTGGCTTTGGATCGGCAGTGGTGTCGGCGGCTGTGGGGTGCAGAGCTGTGGTGGCAGCCTGTGGGGAGAGACTAGGGTTAGCAAGGGCCTCAACCTGGGGTTAGTGTCCCTGCTACCCACACTGCCCTGACACTCTGACCAGGGAGAGGGCAGGCCAAGGCCCCAGAGAGCACAGCTCAGCCCATACAGAATGCAGGGCTCAGGAGGTGGGGCACCTTCAGGGAAGAATCACAGGAGGCAGGGACAAGGGGATTTATTGAGAAAGGAACAAGGGCAGGGAGAGGTTACATGAGGGGTCGAGCTGGGGCTGTGCGGAAAATGGAGGTGCGCTGGCAGATGGAGGAGGCAGGGCGGGTCCATGGGCGCATGGACAGGTGGCTCTGGTCCATCCACCAAGCTCCTGCAGGCACTGCCAGCTTAGGCGTTCCTCCTGCCACTCGAGGCTGTGTTCTGCCTAGCGTGCGATGGGGTGAAGAGTGGGGCTGGAAGGCCCAGTCCTGAGTCCCGCGTCTGCCTGCAGGGTGTCTCCCTCAGGCACCTGGAGGGCTGCCTTCCATCTGCCCTTGAAGCCCAGACCCCACCCAGAGTTGGCCCAGTCTCTTCATCAGTGACAAAAGCAGGCAGACGTCCTGCCTCTGCCCCCAGGCCTCAAGTGGCTTACCTGGAACACAGCACCTCTGCCTGCTGTCCCAGTGCCATCCCCCCAGGCTGCCCTCCTCTGGCTGCAGCCTAAACCCCAACCTAGTGAGGAGAAGCTAGCGAGGGGCCAGTCCCTAGGCAGGGCCAGAAGCAGCACCAGCCTGGGTCCCTGGAGCAGAAACACCTCCCTTAAGACCCACCCCCCAACAGTCCGGTCCTAAACTGGGCAGAGGGCAGGCTCCGGGAGGCCTCAGGTGGCTACCTCGCTCACCAGGGCCGGAGGGGGCTGTGGAAGAGCTGTCGAGTCCACGCAGCCTGCCCAGGTCTCGGAAGCGGCTGAGGAAGGCTTGCTCTTCCTTCTGTGTGTGCAGGGACAGCACGGCCTTGGTCAGCCCCACTGGACGGTAGGCATCTGGGGCTGGGTCAGGGGCTACTGTGGGGCTGGGGGCTGGGCTGGGGGCTGGGCCTGGGGCTAGGCCAGGCAGGTCCTCCATCATGATGATGTCTGAGGAAGATGAGATGGGGAAAGATCATCAGAATCACCTCGGGGTCAACACATCCACACCACACCCTCCCTGTCCCATAGCCTAGCCAACCCCTGGCCCTGCCCCACAGCCAAGCCTGGTCCCCATGTACATTTCTTGGTCTCCTTTCTGCCAAAGGGTCCTCCCTCTCCATGCAAAGCTGTCCCAGAAGGAGAGCGATAGATATTCAGTCCCCTCCACTGGCCACTCCCTGCCAGGAACTCCACTGGGATGACCCCTTCAAAGCACTCGATGGAAGGGAAGCCCACCCCTTGGCCTTCCCTCACACATTTTCTTTTTTTTTTTTTCTTTTTTCAAATGGAGTCTCTTTCTTCCAGGCTGGAGTGCAGTGGTGCGATTTCGCCTCACTGGGACCTCTACCTCCTAGGTTCAAGCGATTCTCCACCACGCCCAGCCTTTCACCATGTTGCCCAAGCTGATGTTGAGCTCCTGACCTCAGGTGATCCTCCCACCTCAGTCTCTCAAAGTGCTGAGATTACAGGCCTGAGCCACCATGCCCAGCCCCTCAAACATTTTCAGGATCAATATCCAAAGACCCCTCAGGGGTCTTCAGTTTTCCTCACCTTCAGACCCTCTGTGGTCAGCACCTCAGGGTAAACCCCCTACCCCAGACTTTGTGTTTCAACTGACAGTAACAATACAAGAAGTAGATCAGGGGAAGGGCAAAGCCAAGAAGCCTGGCAGGGAGGGGAGAACAAGAAGCCGTAGCCCCAAGCTCCAGATCAAGGGAGGGGCTGGAGGGTAGGGAAAAGGCAGGAGGGAGCTCTAGCTGGGAGACCGGTAGAGCCCAAACACTGCCCCCAACTCCACGCCCATACCCGACTCCGGGAGCTTCTTGTCTCCCACATGGACGATGGTAGAGCTGAAGCTACACTGACTTGTGACGGACACCACGCTCTCCGCCTTATTGGCCAGGGTGAGCGGGCTCAGGGTGCCTCCCACCACTGGCTCCTTCCGTGGGGTGGCCCCCTCCCCAGACAGCACTGCTGACGGCGGATCTGTGTGGAGAGATGGTGCCAGTTACCATCCCCACCCCCACCAGGTCAGAAGAGAGGAGCCCAGGGAAAAGGGGGAGGAGGGGTTGATGGTAGGGAAGAGGCTGGAGACCAGGAGACTGGGGAGGAGGGCAGGGCAGAACAAGAGCCCCAGAAGCAGAATGGAACAAACACAGGGCCACCAGGCCAGGACAGAGCAGTGGGAGCAGGGGGCACTGGGTCTTTACCTTTCTTGGTCCCCGCAGGGACTGGGCCTGTCCTCTGCTTGTCGTCATCAGAGGCTGAGGAGGTGGTGTAGGAGGAGGAGGAGGCACATTTACGCTTGGTGGTGCTGGGGATGTTGCAGCTCTCCAAGTACCTGGTGATGGATGCAGCAGAGGGCATCAGGGCATGGCTTGGGGTGGGCAGGGGTAGGGCCCGAGTTGGGGGAGATGCCTGGCAGGCCTTACCTGAGGATACTGTCCAGGCAGTTGATCTGCTGGTAGGAGGAGCTCGAGGTCTCTTTCCTCTCGGCCTCCTCAGGGGCCAAGGCTAGTGGGGCCTGGATGGGAGCAGGACCTGTCTCTAGCTCTGGGTCTGGGGATTGGCAGGGAAGGGCCTTGGCCTTGAACATGCCTGTAGCTAGGGCAGAGAGAGAAAGAGGAAAATGGTCTTCTTAAGCCCACATGGGAAAAAACAGCAAATGGGTTGGGGATAAAGGTCAGGGGACCCCCCCTAAGTCTGTCTCTCCACCCACACCTCCTCACCAACTCACCAGGGAGGCGGGTCCGGGGCTGAGGCCAAGCCCGAGACTCAATAAAAAGCTGCTGCCCCTGGTGCTTCACCAGATGCACATCCTTACATATCTGCTGGAAAGTCACCTGTGGGACATGGCCAGTGTCAGGGGCCAAGAGCACAATAAAACAAGAAGGTACCAGTGGGGAGGCACAGACACATTGATGGGAGCACGACAAGAAGGAAAAGGAAGGAAGGAGAGGGAAAGTGGGGATTGAGCCAGGCTCCAGGACTGGCAATGCCGATTCCGAGGAGGAAAAGGGAAGGGGTGATCAGAGGGTAAGGTAAGAGCAGGTCACTCACTGGCGCAGGAGGCCCAGGTCCCTCTGCATCACCCCCGTTGCTATCACTGGAAGAGCCAGGGCTGTGGAGAGGGCCTGGAGATGCCACGGGGCCAACTCCAGAGAGTCCTGTGGGGCTTGGGCTGTGCACGGGCTGCAGCGGGGAGAGGGCAGGTCAGACGGCTCCATGCTGCTTCCTGCCCCCTTCCTCACCTCCCAAGCTCCCTCTCGAATACTCTCACCTGCAGCAGCAGCCGGTGGATCTGCTCTGACAGCTCCTGGATATCAGTGTCCAGGGGCGGAACTGGGCTGGGGGCCGGGGGAGTGAACACGTCCTCATTGAGGGGAGCCCTGGAGGGTGGGGAAGAGTAAGTCCAGCCCTGGCCCAGTCTTGCCCCCCACTGCACTGCCCTATCCCCAACGCCAGCTCAGGGGATGGCCCACTTACGTGCGGACTTTGTGGCGGCCCAACACGAAGGCTACCTTGCGGCTCCAGGGGTGCACAAAACCAGCCCAGCTAGTGTCCATGGTGACATACTCCCCGTTGCGGGCACAGAAGCGGATAGGGGAGTGGTCAAAGGGCTGGCCCGCCAACTGCAGGACTGATGGAGTGGGAAAGGAGGAGGGGTCAAAGGGAGGGAGAGCTGAGCAAGGGGAGGCCACACCACTGGAGATCCAGGAGACCAAGGCACCAAGAAACACAACCACAAGAGGAACTGTTCAAAAGCCTGGGACAGTGGGAAGGGCGACAGGGTTAGAGGAACTCACTCTTCTTGTGGATAGCCAGCATGAGGGGTCGGTCCTCAGGATGCAGGAACAGGAGCACGGGAGCCCCCAGGAGGTCCTGGGGCAGGTAGCCCAGCAGTGGGGCAGCCCTGGAAGCCAAGGGTGTATCAGAGTGGCCATGGCCTCAGCCCTGGCGCCCTCCTCTCCTCCAGGCCCTACCCTCACCTTTCATCCACATCCTGGAAGAGGCAACTGGGTGTGTGCCTCGTAGTGAAAATCCTCTTGTCAGGAGGTATCCGGGGAGCTGAGGCACAGAGAGTGGAGAGTGTGGTCACCGGGTTTCGCTCAGAATGGCCCAACTCCTCAGCCCTCCACTCTGCCCGGGCCCAGGCTGGCTGACGATCTGCCACACAGCTCCACCCTGGGCACTATGGGCCCAAAGATGGTCTGGGCTATTCCTGTGCCCCATGCAAGAAATACAACGGAGAGCAAGCAAGGCATTCTTCTCTGCCCTCCTGTAGCTCAGGGATCTTATTCAACTCTCCCTCCAAAAGGAACACAAACCCTTGTCCTTACAATAGCTTTTCTTATTCCAAAGTTCAAAGGGTCAGGCTCATACCTCCCATGTTCATGTCTGGCCAGGAGGAAATGTCCTTCCTCCCAACCCCCACCAGACCAGGCCCCTGACCTGCCCACCTTCATAACCCGAGTGGATGCGTTCTGCAATGAGCAGGCAGCACGGCTGTGCAGGCACCCCATCTGAGACCCGGATCTTGGTCACATATGGGGTAAGGCGGAATGGCTGGTACCGAGGCCCTGGGTCCCGGTCAGGACCTCCCCTAGCAAGGGAGAGAAGAGCATTAGGGACTTTCAATAGATAGTCACCCACTCCTCCAACCACCAGATCCCAGCATATACAGCAAAGGCACAGGGAAGGGGTTAGGAGGAGGCAGAGGTCTGCTCCCGCTTCCCTCACCTACCTAATACGGCAGAAAACAGACTTCTCCTGGGTGAAGTCCCTGAGGCCTGAACCTGGGACAGACAAGAGAGCAGTGAGGACAGCCCCCTGCCCCTTCTTTAGACTGTGAAGAACCCACTAAGGGAAAGTTTGGGTCCCCTGGCCCCTCACAGCAGGAACTTCCAGGGACTGCTCATACCTCCCTGCAAGTGCTTGGGCACCTCACCTGCAGAGGCCCCAGTGCCCCAGGTTGGCAGGCGAGATGGAGCAGTGGAACCATAAAAAACTCCCACATCCTGGGGAGCCAGGAGTTCAGCGAAGCGGGTACCCAGGAACACGTCTCGCTTGCAACGCAGCAGGATGGCTGCCTGCTCCGAAATGTACACAATTCGACCCGTCAGGAAGGAGACAGCCACTGAGAAGGTATCCTGGCAGGAGGGGGAGAGCAAGAGCAGATGCCAGAGCTGTGGGAGAAGGGACAAGGGTGCATGGGGATGGGGAGGCCAGGCTGCCGCTGACCTGGTTACGAAGTGTGTACTCAGATGTGATGTGCTCCAGCTCCTCCAGCGTGTAGGTGGACATGTCCATGGAGCAAGGCTCGCCCTCCTCCAGGCTCCACTGCTGGTAGTATTCCTGGTTGGCTGCAGGTGGAAGCAGTGCGAGATTCAGGACGGAGACTGCCTCAGCACAGGAGCCCAGGCCCTGGCCATCCCTTCCTGGGCCGCACCACTTACCCTGCACCTGCTTCACACAGGCCAGCGCGTACTGCAGCGTGGCCAGGGTCCCAGAGCGGCCCTTGCCCCGGCGCTCTGGCGGGAGTCGAAGCTTGAGCTCTCGAAGTGCTGTCATGAGTTCTTTCTGGGTCCTCGCCCGGGCTGACTGTTCACTGCTGCAGGACCCACAGGGAAGAAGAAAATAAAGACATTAGCCCCAGAGTGTGGCCTGGGCCCCCAGACCTCTTCTCCGGCCTCACTCCATGTACCTGCAGCCACTGGTGGATGGGTTGTCCTGCTCTGAGCTGGCACTGAGGAGGCTATAGGCGATGGAACTGCTGGGTGGGGATGGGCTCTGAGAGTTTGTGCTAGGAGACAGCAACAGGCAGTTACAGGCAGGGCCAGCAGCGTGAGGCCTGTCACCTAGGGCTGCCTGCTCGCAAGACCACTCCTAGACCCAACATACACATCCATACACACCTCTTGCTGCTTTCAGTGGTCTCCAGCAGGGCTGAGTCCTTGCCGTTGCCTGAGGAGGAGCTGTGTGAGCTCCGTTGAGACGCACCCCTGGACTCATGCCCATTGGACTCATTGCCGCTTGAACCATTGCTGTTGGCATCGGTGTCATCGGCCAGGCTGGGGCCTGGGCAAGGGCGGTGCTGTGGAGGCCCAGGGGATGGGACTCCTCCAGGACAAAAGGATTCTCCAGGCCTGGGGTCCCCTCCCCCATCTGCCCCTTCTAGGGGGCCACTCATGTCTAGGCCATGGGGAGAATAGAACAGGGAAGGCGGAGAGGCCACCACGGATGCAGGAGGGGGCCTGGAGGCCTGGCTGCGGGAGCGAGGTGGAAGATCTAAGTCTCTGAGGATTGAGAAGTTCGATCACAGCCAGCACCTGGAGAGGGAGATCAGGAAGCAGGGCTTGCAGAAAGCTGGTTTGTTAACTCCACAGCACCTGCTGGCTTCACTCAGACCTTCCCGGCCTGGTCTCATGAAGGACTGATAGGAGTGGGACTCAGGCCTGGGGCTTCCAATGGGGAGTCAAGTTGTTTCCTGTATCCTTAAGGGGGCTGCAAGTGGGAAAGGGTTTCCCGGGGCCTTCCTTCACATCCCTGCTACCCTGACCTGAACAGTCAATGAGAGCTTCGGCTGTGGGCAAAAATCTGGACACTTTCCATTCCCAAGTTCCCATTAGGCCTCCACTCTGCCTGGGCCTCCAAGGCCTTGGAGCAGGGGTGAGCTGCTCGCCTCCTATATTTAGGCCTCCAGGCTAATTTTATCTGGGGGCGGTGCCACCCCCGCTGCACATGCGCACCGACATGCGGGGCCCCACCACACGCTTCCGCCGCCGCCACGGTCGCCAGGGAAACCGACGTCAGCTGCTGAGCTCAGCGGTTGCTGAAGGGACCACTGGAGGGCGGGAGGAACGACCCCTCCCCCATTTCCCGGCGGAAGTGGGGGAACGACCCGCTCTCACACTGGTGGGCGCGGCCGGGGGTCACCATCCCTTACCTATTCCCAGTCCCAGGATGGCTCGGGGCCATACAAGGTGGGACGGTCTATTAGGATTCCAGGGTTGGTCCTGGCTTCTCCAGGACGACGGAAACACATCGGCCACCGCCCTCGGCGCAAAAGCCCCTCAACCTGACTCTCTCCTGGAGTCCAGTCATTCTGGTCAAGACATCACAGCCTTTCCTTTATTAGCCCCTGCCCAGCTTCCCGACCACGAGGACCGAAGCCAGCAACCTGCCATCGTCAAGGACCCGAAGATCCTCTCTCCTCAGTCCCCTACTTTTCTAGCCAGATCCTCACCCCAAACCTTGGGCAGAAGACGCACAACAGCCAACAGATAGTTCTTCCCCTACTCCCAGTCCAACCACACCCCCACTAGTGAGCATTTTCTGAGCGCCAGGAGAAAAGGGAAGGTTGTGGCCAACAGCAGGAACTAGCGCTGGGAACGGGATGTTCCAGTCCTTAGCGGGCTGACATCACAGGCGGCGCAGAGCCAGGGACTAGAGAGCAGAGAAGCGAGGAGCGCCGAAAGCCTAATGGGGTCCTGGTGCTGGGGCAAACCCGGGGCCTCTCTAGTAACGAACACGCCCGCTGAGAGTCGGCTGTGGGGCCGGGAGGGCTGGAACGGGGAGAGGGGGACAAAGCTGGAGGTAAGGTGAGCGAGTCCAGAGTTCGGACTCCCTGTGCAGGATTTTGAGGAGCACTTCGGTCCCCAGGGGCAGGGAGAGGGTGGGCGGCGGTTAAGGACGACGGTGTGCCCTCTGACTGCCTGGGCCCAAAGTAGCCCATCAGATTGGAAGTGGCAGCAGTCCGGCTCAGGAAAGAACGGCCCCAGGATGGCCGCGAAGATGCCTACCTGGTCGTAGGAGTGTCCTCCGCCTGCCTGCCCGCCGCCGCTCCAGCCCGCAGCCGAGTGGAAGCTGCGCTGGGCGGGGAGGCGGGTTGCATAATGCCGGGCACGGCCCCCTCATTGGCCTCTTGCCTGCGAAGCCACAAGCCCCGCCCCCGATTGGCTGGGGAATCTCTTCCCGGCGCCTGATTGGCTAGTGGTCTCCACTAAGGTCAGGGCTGTGTCACACACACGGGCGCACGTGGACCTGGGTGCTGGTGCTGGGCTGAAGAGCCCCAGACACCGCCCAGCCAATGGGCGCAGGACGCTTGCATAGTGAATAATGGAAGGGAGGAGAGGGGAGGTTCGCTGCCCCTCTTTAGGGAAAACGCCCGGGCCAGTGTAGGTGCTCAAGACGTGTCTACTTCCTGAACGCACTAGCCTTGCAGAACACAACATCTTGGCATCTTCGCCTTTCCAGGGGTGCGGAAAACGAATGGCCCTGGGAGTTAGCCACGCTGGATGAGATGGCTGGTCCTTGAGAGGAGGGGAAGAGACAGAAACCTGGCTTGGCCTTTCCTGGGTTCCTGTCCCAACCGGTGTTCCCTCCCAAACTTCATTCTACATAATGAAGCCCTTTAACTGAAGCACTTCCCCTGATACTTCAAATCCTGGGAAAGGACAATTAAGGGTCCACGTGTGATTGGTGGGTGAGTGTGGGTGGAGGAAGAATGCAGACAATGGAAGGGGCGGCCAGAGCCAATAGTGGCTGTGAAGGGAAACAATGGCAGGTGCTTCTATGGCCACTCAGAGAAAAGGTCTCCTGGCAGCCTACGTGGTGTCTAGTATTTCCCTCCAGAGGACGCGGCCACCCACAGTTAGGGCTGCTCCAAAAATGGGGGCCAGGAAGCCAGGACTACAGAGGAACAAAAGGGATGGCACAGAGAAGAGGCCAACTGGGGCCCTAGACAGAGAAAGGTGGGATGGCAAGGGCTTCATATTCCCACTGCTTGGAAAAGAGAAAGCCAAGCTCCAGGGGCGAGCAGGAACGTCATTTGTCTCATTCACTGTACTCTCCAGAGACCAGGACAGGATCTGACACACGGCAAGTGATCAATAAACATTATTATTTTTTTTAAACAAGGATAGGTTGGGGAGGTGGGGAAAGAGCATCAACAGGAGAAAAAGCACTAGGAATTCTATGTTAAAGAGAGGAGAGAGCAGTCCTAGAAAGAGAACAGGGACACGATTTGTCGCCACCTAAAATGCTAGTCTGGGCCCAGGAGAGCTGCAGTTACACAGCCCCTCCATCCAGGATCGTGATGAGTAGTTCCTCGCAGGGCTCCCTGGAAACGTGGGTAGTAGATGAACAGACCTCCAAGCAGCTGCTGACATAATCATTGTGGGGGCACTCCCCTCACTGTCACGTGGCCTAAGCTTTCATGAACAATGAGGGGAGGGTGAAGGGGAGGGCTCTGTAGAAAAGCTGGGACAAGAGTGTGTTATAAATTAACCCAGAAAAATCGAAACAGGAAAACAAAAAAGATTCAGGAACCTGGATTCTCAGTCTCCTCTCCCTGAAAATGATCCTCCCCACCCCAGCTCATACTGTGGTCTTGTCCTTGTCTCATTTGCAGACACCTCTTCCCTGGAAACATGTTTTTTCGGCCCCCCCAGGGATTTAGGTATGATCTCCCCTGACCCAGGCAGTCCTTGCTCTCCCGCCTCCATCTGCCTGTCTTTTGCATAGACAAAAGGATCCAGCCCTCCAGCGGCCCCTGCTTGCTCCCAAAGCCCTTGTTGTCCTGCTTGTCCGTCCCCACAGTAACCAGGCCCTGCTGCCGTCAACGAAGGCGAGGGGGCGGGAGACAGCGGTGACGTCAAAGCGGAAGAAGGGGGCGGGGCGAGGCTGCCGGGGAATGTGGGGCAGGGAGGCTGGAGAGACTGGAGAGGCAGCGGTTTTGGGAGGCGGCCAGCCCGAGAGGGCGGCGGCCAGCGCACTTGGGAACATCATGTTCTCTTGGCTGGTGGCCCAGGACATGCACCCAGCCTGGGCGCCTCCCCCAACCGAACGACAGCCGTCCTGTCCCAAAGCCAGAGATTCCTGGAGAGAGGATTAGGAGGAAGGGGGCCCCCTCCCCACACACCGCCTCCCGCCCCACGCCTGGCTCTTTTCAGGACTCCCGCCTACCCACCCTTCAGCTTGTTCCTGCAGCTCTGGCTTTTCCTCTCTCCCAAACTGTACACATCTGCTGGCATGGTACCAAAGATCCAGGGCGGAGAAGTTGGAGACCCAGACTCTGGGAGAAAACACGCACCTTTGCTCCCTTCCAGAGGCCCCCTTCAGAGTCTGAATCTCTTGTTATTATGGCAGCCGGGAGAGAGGGAGGAGGGAAAGGGAGGAGAATGAGCCTAGGATGAGAAAATCAAACTGGAACAGAGCAAGTGGCCCAGCCTGGGGCCTGAGGCCTGGATCCTGGGAGAGGGCCAGAAGGGAGGAATGAGGGAATTTGGACTGCTGCCTGAAGACGAGAAGAACTAGGAAGAGAAATGGGGCTCCATCAAAACTTGCAGAACAACTTGAGAATGTGAGAATAGTTCCCAGCCACAGCATTCACATAACTCTCACCATGACCCAGGCGTTATGCTAAGCACTTTCCATTATTTCATCCCCACAACAACCCTGTGAGATAGGTATTATTATCCCCATTCCACGGGGGATAACTAAGGCACAGAAGTAGCTAAATTTGTCCAGTGCCTCATAACATGGTCTCAAGCTCCTAACAAATGAAGCCCAGCGTTGCAATCTGAACTCTAATAATGGCTTGGCATTCTGGTATCTTACCCTTCAGGAACGTGTGAGGTGTTAACCAACCTGTAAGCTGCATTCCAGCACTGGCAAACCTGGCCTCTCAAATATCCATCCAATTCTAGGCTGGGTGCCGGGAACACAGACTCCATCCAACCCCTTTCTCTGCCTTGGGCCTGATCTCAAGACACTGTTTGCACTCCCCACACACTTAACATCAGAGCCCGTTTTCCCAGGCTCACAAAGTGCTTCAGATCACCCTAGCAGCCGTCAGTCCCCATGATTTCCTATGAAGCCCACTTCCTCTCTTTTCTACCTTACCTCAGGCCACTTTACCACACGCCTGGCCTGGTCGTTTGTACAGACAGATACCAGAGCACTCAGTTGGTGCATCCCCACCTCCAGGGACTCAGAAAAACTTGCACAGCCAATATGCACAAACCCCAACCCTATCGTTCCTCTCAGGACTCAACAGTTGCTACCCCACGTCTATTCTTAAGGATGACTCTGAGGCCTAAACCCTTCCGTTTAACATGAGAAAGACACCCGGAGCCATACTGTGACTGGCTCTGGGTCTCACAAATTATCACACCATCCTTTCTCAAATCAGCATGTCAGCCCTTTGGTACCCTCCTACTTCCCCTACCAGGGCCTCCCTCCAGCCTCGGAACCTCTACCTTTTTCAAGAGTTTAAGGCGACCACCCAAACAGCAGCCACTGAAACATCTTCCCCCAACTCTCAAGGGTCCCGTTCCGTACCTCCCCAGGAGCAGGGGCTCCTTCAGTCTCGACCTGAGAGGGAGCTCCCTCAGGTCGCTGAGGGTTTCCGAGTCCTTCCCCCTGGGCAGTCAAGAGTCCAGGGACTCTAGAGGTGCGAGGGATCTGATGTCACTAACTCCCACCCCGTCTCTCTAGACCTGAGTTCGTGGTCCCTATTCTCCACAACCATCAGAGCTCCGACCGCGGCTACCACGCATTTGCGTGATCCCCCCCACACACTCTATTTAACATCCTTCCCGACCGACCACACCACCCCGGAAAAGCCCACATCGACCGCCCCCATCTCTCCCCATCTCTCCCCATCCCCGGGCTCTCACCGCTCGGTACGGACGCAGACCCCAAATTTTTTCTAGGACTTCTAGCACTGCACGGGGCTCCTCCAGACCCGCCCAGCAGCTGGGCTGCCACGCCCCCCAAGCTTATTGGCTTAGGGGCGCCGACCCATGCCCCGCGCCGCGTGCAGCTGCCGGCCCCCGCACAGCCTCTATTGGTGCCTCAGGCCGCCATCGTTTTCTCATTGGCTAACAGGCCAACCGTCGAGGAGGGGGGGAGATACACGTGCGAGAGGGACCGCCCCGACGCGGCGATTGGAAGCCTGACCGGAAGCCACGCCCTATGCACGTCCGAGATTTTTATTGGCTTGAGGCAATAACCCCGACCTGCCAAGATTGGTGACGTAAATGCCAGTCCCGCTCTCCAAGCTTTCTTATAGGCTAAGAGGTCTTGGAGCTGTAGGGTACACGTGCCGGCGGTCTCACGCGGCAACTTGTTTACCCAGAAGCTGGGGATTTTCCTTGACGAGACACTTACCCACGGCTTCTAAATCTGCGCAGGCGCAGCGAGCGTGACCTGCACGCAGGCGCAGATGTGAGCGGTGGCCTCGCATAAGGCCCACTTCGTAGAGAGACCCGGGCGTGACAAGGACGCCTACGGCCCTCGGTCCCTGAGGCTCCCCGAAGCTCGAAGGTGCGAGCATTAAGGTGAAGCGGTCTTCAGATCTCAGCACGGCATATTGATGACGATGAAGATGAGAGCCTCTTTCTGATTGTTCTCTGCGGGCCAGGCCAGGCGCTTCTCACAAACTCTGAGGAGGCCGCTCACGTACTCCCCCTGCCTCACAAATGAGACTGAGATCCAGGGGCGTTACATAATCTGTTCGCCTGTAACACGCTGGTCAGTAACGGGGCTAAAACTTGAACCCAAGTCCCCGACACCGTAAAGCAGGCGGGTCCTAGGGTCCATGGGAACTCTTAAATCTGGAAGGGATTTGAGTTGGAAGTGCGAAATCCTGAGCACTGCCTGGAATATAGTTAAGACTTCTATCAAGTTGGACGTTCTGGTAATGATAGTGTACATAAGAATCACCCGGACCCTAAGAACCTCTGCATCAGAATCTCCAGGGGAGGGGCCTGAAAAAATTTTATTATTTATTTAAGAGTCTTGCTCTGTTACCCAGGCTGGAGTGCAGTGTCATGATCTCAGCTCACTGCAACCTCCACCGCCCAGGTTCAGGTAATTCACCTGCCGCAGCCTCCTGAGTGGCTGGGACTGCAGACGTGCACCACCATTCCCGGCTAACTTTTGTATTTTTAGTAAGAGATGGGCTTTCACTGTGTTGGCCAGGCTGGTCTTGAACTCCTGACCTCGTGATCTGCTCACCTAATAGTGCTGGGATTACAGGCGTGAGCCACCGCACTTGGCCACTCACTGTTATAGCTCCTGGGGACAGGGATGCTAAGTTCAATGTGGGGTCTAAAGTCACAGTCATAAAACAGAGTAGAGGGGTAATAGGTTATCTACAGGCAGCTCCACCACATCAGCTATGTCTCTGCGAGCCAATTACTTAAACCAGTATTTAGTAACCCCGTCGGGGCGCTGGCACTGGGTTAGGCACAGAGGGGAAGAAATGCTTCACAGAAGTGGCGAACTACTATCTACTGCCGCAAGGGAGCAACTGTAGCGCATCTTGGGAGTTAAATCCAGGAGTATAAAGGAGTCCAACAGTAGAAACCTGCCCCAGGAAAGGGAAAGGAAAGCTGGGAACCCCAAACCGGAGGGCTCACCAGGCTTAGAGACACAGGAGTTGGCTATGACACTTCCCATTACCAACGCCTGGTGCCCCCCTGTGACCACTTTGGGAATCACACTTTGCCCTGCCCAAGGTCAGGGCCTCTTGCAAAGTCCAGTCCTTTACCAATGCATCTTCTCCACCTTCCTGGCATACCTTCGGATCCAATATTCTTACCATTGGTTAAGAAAAGATGTTATTCTCCCCCCACAAAAAAAGATAGAGAAAACCATAAAGATCTTAGAACAGACAACACCTGGTTACTCATTACACATTTATTGTACATTTTCACAATCTGGATGCGCCACAGAATTGGGGGAATGGGGTGGGGGAAGGGGGGGCAGGGGACACTGGGATAATATGGGGGGTCTAGAACACAGCACCCCCACCCCCAGCATCTCTCCTACCCTTTCACACCACAGCTTAGATATCCCTGCTCCCCCTCCACACAAAAAATCTCGAGTGTGCGGGGAAGAAAGTTTGGGGGACCCCTTCCCGTGGCAGGTTAAGGGACTGTACCCTCAGACCCTTAAAATTGTGCCATTTAAAAAGACAATAGACCCTTCCTCTATCACTTCACCCAATGAGAGGACAGCTCTCTCTGGGTTCAATAGCCCTGGAGAGGGGCAAGGATCCTCGTTTTCCAGCAAGTCCCATACACACATTGGCAGTGACTAGTACCCCCACCCTAAATTCAGGGCAGGGGCAGTCAGAGGAGCTGGGCAGTGACGGGGGCAACACCCCCCAAATTGGGGAGGAGGGTTTTCAGTCCAACCCCCAGCAGGGGTGAGGCCAGAGATTTCAGGCAGGAATTGGGGGGATTCTCTGCCCTGCCCCACTCCTCCCCAAGGCAGTGATGACCTCCCACACACTGGTAGCCACCCCTCCCAAGATATCAATTGTGGCCAACCCCCAACTCTCCTGCTGGGAGGAGGAGGTGGATCAGGCAGATAGGAGGGAGGGAAACCCCATGGGAATGTCAGTTGAGTGCCCCACATGAAAACTGGGGAGCAGGAATGTGGGGAGAGACCCCAAGTGGCAGAATTATTGGTCCATCATAACATACTGAACTCCAAGACACTTACATACCAGCTGGAGGAGGGAGAGGGGGGTACAAGAGGTTTGGAAAATGAGGGTAAGGGAGGCAAACTGGACTAGAAGGCTAGAAGGAGGCAATGCTGGGGGCCAGAGCCGCCTGATTCCCCAAAAGCCCAGGCTCCCACCACCTGCAAGTAATGTCGTGCAAATGAAAATGTAATACAAGTACTAATGGGGACTAACTCCTTAGTAAAAAAACAAACACAGGTTAAGAGAAGAGTGATGGAACAAAAAGAAATGGAAAGAGACTGCAGTATGCAATGATACGCTAATTAACATGCTGGACGCTCCCAAAGACCTTGGGATTCTTAGGACCAAGTGGGGCCAGTCTCAGAGCCTCCTAATGGATGCAAAG